AGATATAGAGATAGATATAGATAGAAGAAGAGTAAATGAGACAGAGAGAGAGAGAGAGAGAGAGAGTGAGAGAGAGAGAGAGAGAGGGGTAGAGAAAGGGGGTGCTCGCAATTGAAGTAAAAAGGTGCTCTGAGTGGGTGTGTCTGCCTGATGGAGCTCGAAACTAAATTAACCACCCCGCCTGGGGCCTCGTGATCTCGTCGCAACCTCATCTCCTCGTCCATTATATTTGTCTTTGTATGCTAAACATTTGCGAGATTATACGAGCCACTCTCCAACAGCAAGTGTTCTCTCTCTCTCTCTCTCTCTCTTATTATTCTTTTTCTATTTCTCTTCCTCTTTCTCTTCTCATCCCTGTGATCCATTTCTTGTTGACATTTTTTTCCCCAAGTTTTTTTCCCAGTTATCGCAAAACGATGATCTTCAGACAAAAAATGAAAATAATAATAATAATAATAATAATAATAATAATAATAAAAGTGTGAAATTGAATTAATAACCTAAAATATTTTATAGAAACGGAATAGTTTATTATTAACCGTATTCTAATAATAAATTATATTTAATAATTAATATTTTTGTTTCTGTGAATATAATTTAATAATTTAATATAAATATTACAATACTTTAAGATAATATTAATAAACACGTATATATACGTCGAACGACTACGCTAGTAATTTTTACCAAACGTACATATACGTCCATGATACTCAAAGGGTTAAATAGTTAAAAATAGTGTTATTTATGATAAAAATAATAATCGGGAATTTTCTTTGATCTTAATTTAATTTATCGAATGTTTGAACGAGTAATTGAACGAATTGTTGAGGTTAGAATTTGGGATGTTAAAAATATATTAAAAAAAAATAAAATTAAATAGTTTTGAAAATGTGTAGTAGCAGATTAAGTATTTGATAAAAAAAATTAGATAACAGTTTTTAATAATATTATATATATTTATTTATACGTTATCATAGAAAAAAAAGATATTATATTGACATAAAAAAAAATATGAATGATGTTAAAAGATATGAGATCTTAAATATGCAATTGCTTACAATATATATATCATTTTTATCGCTTGTTTATAATAATTTGTTCGATTTCGATTAAATCATAATAATATTAATAATAATGACGTCATTGAGGTAGAAGGAGTGGGGGAAAGGGAATGGATGAAAAGATCCGTTGAAGAAGTGCGACGAACGGTGTCGGCACGTTTTATTCTTTGGTGTCATACTGTCTGCACAGTGTCATAAATCGATAAGCTCGTTTTACCGTCGTTCGTTCTTATCGATAACGACGACTACGACTACGACGACGACGACTATGATGGTAGACCGCATTCATGTTATCAAATGTGTGGCGCATACAAAACCATTTTGCCTCCGTCGCCGCCTTTACTTGTCAATCTCTTTAGATTTTTTTTTTTATTCTATCTTTTTTACTTTAATGCTTTTTTTTCTTCTTCTTTTTATTTCTTCGTACATACCGAGTAAAGTGATACTAATCTATATCCAAGTAACTATAAGTAATACAAATTTTGAACGGTGGTATCAAACGAATCGCAGGAAGTAGAATTTTTCTATAGAAGTTGGTCATTCTTAGAAATGATGTGTTAATATTTGATCTTGTCTTTGTTCTTTTTATTTTTTATTTTTTTTAATAGTATTTGCTACACGTTTCTATTTATAAATTTATAACAAATAAAATTTATATATATTATATTTATAATATTATATAATATTATTTAATAATATAATATATATTATTTAATTAATTAATAATATATATATATAAAATAAT